AACATTGTTTAGACATAGAATGCCTAATATTAGGTTGTTACTTAACATGAATAACTAGATTTCTTGTTGGCGATGCCACCAAAGAACCTCTTGTCCCCTCACACAAGAACTTTAGCATAAGAAAAGGTGACAAATGTATTCAAAGTGGAACAAAGATGATTAAGGACTAATAATGCTATTGTTGGGTAACGCCAACGTCCTGCCTATGGCAAGCTCACGAGGGGGTTAGGGTAGACTAGGTCAAGTCATGGTCGAACATGGCGCTTGTTTGGTGGACTTGGTTAAGAAATAAAATTACGCCCTTACTATCAGCTATAGCTTTTGGCATAATAGTAAGCACTTGATCCTAACAGCCAATAACGCTATAATGAAACAGATAAAAATCTTTATATCATGCTCTCCTCTCTTACTGATGATTGAAAAATAATTTGTTAGTAGTTTGTTTGAATATTGAATGAACAAGCATATTGATAAGCATTTTTTGGTCATATTCCATAGGTTTCTAAATAAGGCGTGCATCATTAGAAACCCTGAGAAAGATTTGAATCCAAATGGAATAGTTTCAGATCAATGGAATCTTTGTACAGTTCAACAAGTAGAAGAATTCAAAGCATTGATCAAAGTAATCCCAATGTGGTCTACAGGAATTATGATAGCAGTAACACTAAGTCAACATGCATTTCCAGTGTTACAAGCAAATACAATGGACAGACATTTGAATAGTCACTTTGAAATTCCAGCAGCTTCTTATGGTTTATTTGGGATTATTACATTGACAATATGGATAGCCATCTATGACCGAATCCTCGTCCCCTGGATTTCAAAATTCACCAAAAAACCTCGCGGATTGACTTTCAAGCAACGTATAGAGATCGGGTTGTTGTTTTCTTGTGCAGCACAAGCGGTAGCAGCATTAGTGGAAAGAGAAAGACGAGCACGAGCCCATAATGAAGGACTAGAGAGAAATCCGTTGTCACAAGTGAATATGTCAGCATTTTGGTTAGTGCCACAACATTGTTTAACTGGTCTAGCTGAGGCATTCAACGCGATTGGACAAATAGAATTTTATTATTTACAATTTCCTAAGAGCATGGCTAGTATTGGAGTGGCACTATTTGCACTAGGAATGGGATTTGGGAATGTTGTTGGAAGTCTAATAGTTGAAATTGTTGATCATGTTTCAAGTAGAGGAGGGAAAGTGAGTTGGGTATCAAATAATTTGAATTTAGGTCACTATGATTATTACTATTGGATTCTTTGCTTGTTGAGTGTAGGGAATTTGTTCTACTTTATTGTTTGTGCTTGGGCTTATGGATCTGATGAAGATACAAGAATTTGGGAGGAAGATCAAGCTGAAAAGAAAGGAGAGATTGTCATGTTATAGACATTTTTAGTAGTCGAATTTGTTAACATGTTTGACTTTGCAGAGCCTGAGGGCTCACTTTATCATATATTGGGGTCTTTACATAAATAGCCAGCCAAATTTACTTTTTGACTTTTTTATCGATAAGTTGATTATACATTGGTTATACACTTATTCTACATATGTTATACATTCGCGGGCTATTATACTCTATTGCAAATTTTGTTCAGTTTCACACTTTCATGCCTCTTTTCTTTTTCTTGATCACTTATGAAAAATGTGAAAATGTCATTGTAAAGTGACGCCTTTTTGTATTGACACAGATAAACTTTAATTTTTAATTTCAAGGTCAGATCAGAGTCATGATAAACAAAAGCTATTTCTGTCCAATGTATAATTAACAGAAACCAGTCAATTCTCAATCTCAATATAATATGAATATATCAAACCACACTGAGGCGGAGAATTACTTCATTAGTGCATCTATCCGATGTGAATCTGAATTAAGCAATTCAGTTAATTTCGAATACAAAATGTCTAAAGCAATATAGATTTAGAGGTGGCAAAACTAACCCAAATCTATTTTGACCCGCCCAAGTTTTAATGGGTTTGGAGTAGAATTATGAGAAATTTTCATAAAGCACTATCTTTTAGTGGTAATTAGCTATCTGTAGATACCATTTGCTATATTACGGATTGTAGATACGTTTTCTGTTGTTATAAGATGTATTAGATGTATTTAAGCTACTGTATTCATGAATAAAGTAGCAAAAATAGGCGTGAATCAGGGAAGTCCAGCTAATCAGTTGTTGTATTCGAGTGTATTCGACTGTATTCATGGCGTGAAACATGGGATTACAGCTGGACAGATTATTGTATTCGACTGTATTCACGACGTGAAACAGGGAATTACACTATTTTTAAACGGAAAATGTATCAATTAACATAATAGACTCCTAATATAACTCAACAAATTCAATTATAACACACAAAATTTGTATTTCCGGTTGTAAAAAAGATTCTCAACCAAAAAATACCCCAAAAATATAGCAATCTTCAGAGAAATTATATAATACATCTGAATACATAAATTATATTAATTGAAAAAATATATGAATACATTCATGGTATATAGCGAGACAATGAGTACAATGAAATACATAGAATATAGCGGGATACATTGAAATACAATAAAAACAAAGACAGTGAATACAATGAAATACGTGGAATACAGCGAGATACATTGAATTACAATGGAAAAAAAGACAATGAATACAATGAAATACATGAAAATACAATGTGATACGTTGAAAATACATTGAAATATATTAACAGAAAATCAAGTTGCTCAGCCCCAAACTCCGTCTTCTTTGTTCAAGAACAAACCCTAATTTCCGGCGAATCCGCCGTCGAGCAATGGTGGCAGAATAAGGAGCTGTTAATCACCATTAACGAGCAGATGATTAACAACTTTTGAAGCAGCAACAACATAATCTTCATATAAATCAAACCTGATGAGGATGTGCCTTCTCGCTAACCACCCAATCAAGCTACGACCTTGAGTTCCAAGCAGTTTTGGCAAGAACTTTCGAAGTTCATTCATCTCCAATCTCTCAAACGAAAATTTTAATAAGCCTGATGTAGGCCTTCTTCAACAGTGAACTTTTCAAGTTCCTCCATAGTAAACACAACAGTAGGTTCTCCATGAAATATTTCAATAGGTTTAAGAATTGTTTTTGGTGGATTTTGAGCAGGTTTGTTTGTGAGCACTCTCGTAGCGTATGTAGTGGCTGGGTTAGGGTTTAAATTCGTCTCTCCCACAGCGACAT